TTCCAAGAAACCAGCCACAGATCCTGGTCAATTTGATCCTCTGGACCTTACCGACAAATCACACTGAGCCAAACCTTTAGCATCTAACTTCTAAAGGTTTATTGCTACAAGAAAGAAAAGCATGAGAGTGAGGTTGCTAAAGTATCATACGTTCCATGCATCGAATCTCCCAGTTTTCCTTAAGAGTCCTTGTTGCACATCCTAGAATCAGGATGGGTCCACAGTTCTTTCCGGCTCTTTGATCCCTGCACTGCTGCCTCCGGGATGAAGTGCTGAGCTGAAGACCAAATGGAGTCCACCACATGGCCTATTTATCCCTCCTTCCTGGTCTCTTCTTGGCTACAGCAGGTCACCTGGCTTATTCCTGTGTTCCCTGCTGGTAGCCCTTAGGTATGAGTCACCACTCATTCTTTAGGTGTGTCCTTGGCCCATTGAGTCCCATTGTCCCACAGGGCCTCACTGATTAGCATGTCCATAGGCCGGGCTCTGCCCACTGCTCAACCACATGCAGAGAAATATTCAGTATCTACACAGATTACAGATTCCTAACTACACACACAGACATTATACAATCACATTACTAGCGTACATAGAATTAGCAGACTGTAAGCTTCTAGTCAACACCCCACATGGCCCCCTTTTATACCATTTTTGGGCCTATACCCCCACCTATGGGTGCATCAGTGATCTGGCTGCTCCCCTCAAAATCCAGTAACGTGACAGCCTCATTGATAAGTAGCATGATCTTTGCATGCAATGGAGGCTGGAGGATTTTCAGGAGTCTGAGTTGCTTCTCCTGTACTTTCTGGAGAGGAACCTCCTGGCTAGCAGCCACTCTTTTGAAGAGATCCTGAAATTTCTTTAAATCATCCGCTGGAAATGGATCTCTTCCAGTGAAAACGATGAGTTATCAACTGGAGAGGTGTCTAGACTCTGTGGATCAGGATCCTCCTCCTGGATTTGCCCCTCCTCTTCCTCTGAGTCCTCGGTGGGAGGAAGTGAGGTTGGAGGGGGTCTCTTTACCAGAGTAAGTGGGGCAGTGGAGCGTTGTCTTTAAAACATCCATGGATCCCATGGTGGCCAATGTACAGTATAGTGTGGTGGAGGATAATGCCAGTGCACATACCACAGTGGGTGATGGGCTAGTCAGGATCTGTCCCTGCGAGAGGTGGAAAGTGACTGTGTAGGAGAGGGGTATTGTGATAAGAAGACACTTTTCTGGTCATCATCTTCAAATGCGCTATACATGGGAGAGCACCAGAGATCTAGGAAAAACTGGGGAACCTCAGGATGAAGACAGTGCCAGTGAGGGTTCCCTACCATGGTGCGGGGATAATGGGATTTTTCCTGCCCAGTTGGCGCCAAAGCACCGTGACCCGAATTGCTCGGTGCCAAGCATTCCAGAACCATGGTTCTGTCCGCTGGTGTCATAGGGAGAGGTGCCAGTGATGGCGGCATAGAAACCGGCACCAGAGATGTCGGTTCCAGTGCCAGTGCATTGGTTGGAGTCAACCTCCCAGCTGGTGCTAGCGTCTTAGCTGATGCTTTGGTCATTGCTAGCTTTTTCTCCAGTTCCTGCACTTTGACCTGAGCCAAAGATTTTGCTGGTTCCTACGGCTCTCTGGGTGCCAACACTGCACAAACCAATGCCACAGACTGCAAGTGGCAGGACTTAGTGTAGGCATCATGGAGGCACGCAACACTGTGATACCAGAGGTGACAGGTTTGCCTCCCCTGCTGACTTGGGGAGATGGAATCACTGCTAGGGATCTCACTGGAGAAACATTTTTTCCTTGGCTGATCCTTTTGTCAATGGGAAGCCAGCCCACATCCTGGGCACCTTGGAAGACTTAGAGTGGGCTCGAGGCAGCTGTTGGGGCTCTGAGGGATGGACTACCTTACTGAAGAGGAGCATTCTGAGCTGTAACTCCATCCCTCCTTGCTCTGGCTTTGAAGCTGGAACAGTGGTCACACTTCTACGGGACATGAGTGTCCCCCCAGCATCAGATGCAGGAGGAGTGCCCACTTGAAAGCAGCATGGGATCATGATGTGTAGCATTTCTTAAACCCCAGAGATCCCAGCATGGTGCTCAAGCAAACATTTTCTAATCAGTCTTCTGCTTCTTTTTTTTTTTTCTCTCCTTTACTTTCTTCTTTTTTTAAACAGAGAAAATAAACTTGGAGGAAGGGGTAGAAGTCCTGAGATGAGGAAGCCCACATCTTACGTCTCTGTTTTCTCCCCCTTCCCCCCACCTTTTTTTTTTTTTTTTTGCAGAAACAACTGGGGAGAAGAAAAAAACCTGACTAGAAAACTAACTGGAAAATATAAACAACTATTTCTGTCCAGACTAGAACAAACACTGAGGTAAGAAGTAAGTTCCATCGGTCACCGAGATGGTAAAGGAGGAACTGAGGAGGGGTGGGACCGTGCACATGAGGTGCGAAGGCACAAATGCCATGAGGCGCCTATTGCGCATGTGTGGCCCAACCAACAGCTGCTATTTAAAACTCCGATTTGTGGCACCAGGACAATCTGTCACTAATAGTGGAGCACCCATGGGGACATCACTCAAAGAAGAACCAACCTTTTCTTAGAAAAATAATTTTAAAACACAAATGCAAAATTATTAGCATCTATTATTTAGATCATGGTTTCCTGCTTGCTGATTTAAATCATGATTAAAATTAGTGACTTAAATCAATCCACTCTGCTTAGACATCACAGTAAGTTAGAACCTCATTAGCCAGGGTTAGAGCCCTGAGAGCTTTGTCTTGGTACTGTTTGCAATCCCACTCCAGATAGACAGTGGCTAATAACCGCAGCACTTTAGCCTAGAATGAAAAGACAAAATTAATAATTAAACTCAAATGAAACGTAAGCAGGGTCTGAATGAGTTCTCCCCAATAACTAGCTATAGGAGCAAAAGGGAAGTTACTCACCTTGTACAGTACCGACGATTCTTCGGGATGTGTCCCCCCATGGGTGCTCCACTGTTGCTGTCAGGCTCGTCCCAGCACTGCAGATCGGAGTCTTTTTCTAGCAGTATCTAGTTGGGCCACATATGCGTAGAAGAGGCACCTACCGTTCGGGCCTTTGGAGTTCACGTGCGTGGCCCAATTCCCCTCAGTTTCTACATGTATGCCCTCTTGAATGAGTGTCAAACCAAAGAAGAGGTAAGGAGGGTGGGTCATGGTGCACCCATGGGAACACACATCTCAAAGAACCATTGTCACTGCACAAGGTGAGTAACTTCCCATTCTTCTTCATGTAATGTCCCCGTGGTAGATGGGTTCAGCTAGGTCTTACACGCAGATGGAGGGAGGGTAGTGGAGCAACCCACGGGGGGGAGGACACATCTCGAAGAAAAAGAAGTTACTCACTTCCGTGCAGTAACGATGGTTCTTCGAGGTGTGTCCCTGTGGGTGCTCCACGTCTGGTGTCGGGTTGGTCCCGGCACCACGAATCGGAGCTCGCCAGAGCTGTGTTCAGCCGGACCGCGCATGCTCGAGCTGGTTTCGCGCCTTTCACGTGCCGCGCGCGGTCCTGGCACCCGCCAGTTTCCTCTCACCGCCCCTTTGCAAGACAGAAACAGAGGCGATTCCGTAGCGGGGAGGAAGGCGGGTCGTGGAGCACTCACGGGGACACACCTCGAAGACCATCGTTACTGCACGGAAGTAAGTAACTTCTTTTTCTTCGAGATGTGTCCCCCCGGGGGTTGCTCCAAGTCTGGTGACTCCGGAGCAGTAATCTGAGTTAGACGTGGGCTGCGGAATCACGATTTTGGTGGCTAGGGAGTACTGCTAGAGCCACCGCTGAATCGGAAGCTAGCCGCTGCGTGATTGCATAGTGCCTTGAAAATGTGGTATTGGAGGACCAAGTGGCTGCCCTGCAGATGTTGCGTAAGGGGACTCCCCTAACGAATGCTGCTGACGTTGCCACTGCTCGCGTCGAGTGGGCCCTTGGCTGCGATGGGAGCGGCTTGTCGCGAATTGTGTAACAGGTGGTAAGGCAGGAGACGATGAGTTTCAAAATACGCTGGGCCGAGAGGGGTTGGCCCTTAAAGCGGCCTGACGTCAAAATAATAAGGCGATCTGTTTTCTTGATGTTGCGGGTTCTATCTATATAGAATGCCAATGCCCGACGGACGTCCAGGGTATGCAGGAGCGCATCCCGCTGAGAGATGTGAGGCTCTGGATAGAAGCATGGCAAAACGATCGGCTCGTTAATATGAAATTCTGTGCAGACCTTAGGTAGGAAAGCCGGATGAGATCTCAATGTTACAGATTCCTTACTAAATACTGTACAGGGGGGCGATGCCATTAGTGCTGCCAGCTCGCTGACCCTACACGCTGATGTTACGGCCAAGAGGAAGAGTACTTTCATTGCCAGTATAGGCCAGGGTACCGTCGCCAAGGGTTCAAAGGGAGGACGCGTCAGGGTGTCCAACACGAGGTCTAGGCTCCATGTGGGTGGTGGGGGCCTGCGAGGTGGATTAAGGTTAGTCAGGCCTTTGAGAAATCTTGTGACCATGGGGTGAGAAAAGACCGACCTGCCCTCTACCGGGCCGTGAAAGGCCGCAATTGCTGCTACATGGACTCTGAGTGATGATATGGAGAGCCCGGCAACCTGTAACTGAAGGATATAGTCCAAGAGGACATGCAGTGGTGAGAGAAAAGGGTTTACGCCCTTTGGAACACACCAACGTGTGAACCTAGACCATTTGGACAGGTAGGTTTTCCTGGTAGAGTCTTTCCTGCTATGCAGCAATACCCGTTTCACCTGGTCCAAGCAAAGACTCTCGGACATGCTGAACCATCTATCATCCATGCAGTTAGAGGCAGAGTGTTCAACTTCGGATGCAGAAGAGCGCCGTTCTGCTGCGTCAGGAGGTCCGGTCGATGCGGGAAGCGGTATGGTGGTCGCGTGGACAGCTGCAGGAAAGTTGAATACCATGGCTGTCTGGGCCAGGCCGGAGCTATGAGTAAGACTCTCGCCTTGTCCATGAGGATCTTCTCGAGCACTCTGGGAATGAGCACAACAGGGGGGAATGCATATAACAGTGATGTTCCCCAGTGTCGGAGAAAGGCGTCTCCCAGGGAACCGGTGCCTGCTCCTGCTCTGGAACAGTATGCTGCGCATTTCCTGTTGGCCCGAGTGGCGAAGAGATCTATCATCGGACAGCCCCAGCGACGGAAAAGAGGTAGGAGGACTTCCGTACTGACCACACACTCGTGATCGTGATGAAAGTATCTGCTCAATGCATCCGTGATGGTGTTGTTCGCACCGGGTAAGTATGATGCGACTATAATGATGTCGTTTCGAATGAACTACGTCCATAAGCGGACTGCCTCCGCGCAGAGGGACCGGGCGCCTCCTTGTCTGTTCACGTAATACATCACGACGATGTTGTCGGTGAGAATTCTGGTTGTCGTGCCTCTTATATGCGTCCTGAA